CAGACAGACAGACAGACAGACAGACAGACAGACAGACAGACAGACAGACAGACAGGCACGGCTGAAAGATGAGCCAGTGCTTTGTGATAAAAATAACTGGGATTGAGACCAAAGACCAAAAAAAAACACACCAAAAAACCCAAACAGTGAGAGATTGGAGGGATGAAATTGACAGAACGACCAGCCGATCAATAGACCGACAGACAGACCGACAAACTAACAAACTTGATGTTAGACCGTTATAATCGCACTATCAATCAACTTGGGCCTTACGTTGCAGGCAAATAATTAACCAAACATAGTCAAAGTTTCTTCTTGCGGGCGGTTGGCAGGTGTTTGGTGTGGTTTGCTCCCTCTTTCAAACATCCATCGTCCTGATCTCTCCTCCTCTTTTTGTTTTTATTACTATCTTGTAGCTTCTTCGGCAATGACCTCATTGTGTTGTAAGTGCCGTAATACTCTTAAAAAAACAAACTAAACTAAAGTTTCTTCGTAAGGCAAGCTTTCGACAACCCTCCTATAACCTTTCACGAGAACGTCCTTTAAACGCACTTCACCGTCTCCAGTTAAACGTACTGTACACGCCAGATTAAGAAAGATCGTTTTACCATGCAGCAACCACCACCAACTGCAGAACTTTAATTTGTATGTCTCGAAATAACGTTCCCTCGCTCGCTCGGCGCACTCATCAATAGTTTTGATAATCATGTGTATTTACTACGATGCGGATGACTGGTTCGTGTTCCTATCGGCGCTTTCTTGAACTGTTTAGGGACTTTATTGTGACTCCCCGTCCACCTGGAGTGTTCAGATCAAATTTTAATATGGGTATTGAAATAGATGTCACGTCCCGTAAATTAAATAACCGGACTTTGTTGAAGGGAGCGTCAAACCTGTAGACTACCTGCACACAGGTGTACTGGTGACTGTGGTGTAGCGGTTAAGCGCTTCGCTGTCGCAAGCAGGGGACTGGAGTTCGACTCCAGAGTGGGAAGAATTTTTATGGAGTATCTCGGTCTTTTTGCTGAGATGTGTGTGTGTGTGTGTGTGTGTGTGTGTGTGTGTGTGTGTGTGTGTGTGTGTGTTGTGTATAAATATACTCACGCACAGTGCACGCACTCACACATACGGAGCGGGGTTGTCTCAGCCCGTAGGACATGTATTTACTACTGTCCTGTATTGTTGTGTGTGTATGCATGAGTGCTTCTAACCT